GGCCATGTGATAAGCTAATCTTTTCAAGGAAGTTATAGTGGTAGGTAGGCGTATTACGTTACGTATCCCTCGTTGCTGTTTTAATTTAAATTATAAAAGAAAAATATTAACAACAACAAAAACGTTCATCAATTATTTTTATTCATCATTTTAATGGCTCGACCGGCAAAAAAAAGCCAAATTTGAGCAAACTACACGTTCAAATAATCATAGAAATGAAGATGATCAAGCTCTTCTCTCCGGACAATTTATGACCTCAAGACTTGATGATGATGAAGTAAAATATGAATAATTTGTAATTTTTTGTATTATTATTTAAATAATTTAGCCAAATGATGTACCGTGTCCGTCACCAATACCAAATCCCAATGATCCATTAACTTCTCAAGGCTTACCTATTGTTAGTGATACAACACAAGGTGAAACAGAACGTCGTCCTGAATTCAAGGGTGGATTTGCTAGTCTTGTTTCTCTTTTACGTGTTATTAATACTGTCTATAGGTTAGATTTGAATTTATTTATAATAGTTTTAATTTCATATAGAAAATCTTTAGAACAAATTTAACTTCACCAAAATGGAAAAATTTTCGTGGGTCACGTATTGAATGTCAAGATAAAATACGCTTAAATAATGTTATATGGAGAACATGGCATCAACAATGTATGATATAATATAATTTATTTGAAATTACTTTTTATTTTAAAATTTAGATATTCGAAGAATAAAATCACTTGTTTGTCAATTTGTATCTCCACTTGATGTTCAAGCATTACCAGTATTTATTAAATAAATTATTTTAATATTACATTTTTTTCCTCATTTATAGACTCAAGTCAATCAACAATCAAAACAACATATGATAAATAGTTTAAAAGGAGAATATATTAAATGGAGACAAAATTCTAAAACAACATTTCGTCGATTAGACATTGATATATCTGTATGTACAGAATATTCTATAATTAAGATCTTCAACTAATGCTTTATTTTAATTTCTATTTAGAGCGATGAAGTTAAACTTCTTTTGAGTAATGTTAGTGAAACTTATACACCTAAAATCAATGTAAATTTTCGTCGCATTGCAACACCACCACCTGAAACATTTAGTTTATTTGATGATTTTGATTTAATTGAAAATCAATTACTTTTTTCAACTACAAATGCATTTAATGATAAAGACGCAGGTATGTTTTCATAATAAAAAAGAATTGTTTTTGAAAAAAATTTGATTGTGGTGATAGATAAAATAACTATTTCAAATTATTATTTTTATATTCTTTTTCTTGTGCTTATTCGATTATAGACTATCCATTCTCAGGTAAATGGTTATATACAAATGTGTGGCTCTATAAACTGTTGTTTTTATTTTTGTGAACGCTCGCGTTTTTTCGCTAGTCGATTTAACCAATTATTTACATGTCTATACACTCGGATATATTAAAAAAAAACAACACAACCTAATCGCTTTTATATTTTCTTTTGTGGTTATGTGATATAAAGCTTTATTTCCTTTATTTTTTACCTCTATTTATCATTTAATTCGAGATTAAAACTAAATATTGTTTTTTTTTTGTATAAATAGCACTTGGTGGAAATCCAGATTTGCATCAACCTGTTATGGGACAATATCATTTTGATTTTAATACATTATTTGATGGATTTGATTCATCATTAACAAGTAAGTGAACATAATTATTTTATAATTTTGATTTAGAAAAATGTCAAACTTTATTTAGATGAAGATTTTAATCTACGATGCAATAATGATTCTGTAAGATAGACTTTTTTTTGTGTTTATTAGTCTATTTTTTTTTATTTTAGCTCTCAGTATTAAATACTTATCAACCTCAATCTGATTTTACATTAGATATACCGTCACAATCTCAACAAGATTTAAGTAATTTTCAAACATTAGTTTCTGTTGCTACTGAACGACCACGCTTAACTATTCAACAACAAAAAAATATTTTAAATCATAATAATAATAATAATAATTCTAATGTAAATACATTTCATAAATCAAAAAAAAACGAAATAGTTAATTTTATTTTCGTTTCTGTTTTTAAATAGAATAATGTTCAATTAAATGTTAATAATATGAATACAATGAGTATGTATAATAATGTACATTATCAACCATTAACATCACAACGATCATTCACTACTTATATAGCGAATAATAATAACAATACATCAAATTCTAATGTAAATCATTCGATTATTTTTTTCTCTATTAATATTCAAGTTTTGATTCGCTTTAGAATATTGAACAAATGACGTCGATTACAAATATATCGAAAGCACCATCATCAAATGTAATATTAACTACTACTTCACAACCAACTTTACTTTATGCATCGAGTGGTGTACGCCAACAACAACAACAACAACAAAAAGCTGATTTATCCATAAATAAACCACCATCATCAACTCTTGTTGATCTTCTTAAACAAAGACGTACTCCACCTCCACCCATAATAAATACTTCATCATCCATGTCAACTCGTCAACGAAAACAAAATTCTATAGTAAAACAACCTAAAAAACCTCGAAAATCTCAAATACAAATGAAACAATTATCTGTAAATAGTACTAATAGTAATATTCAAGTAAATATAATTTTAATTAATTATTTAAGTATTTTTATTGTATCATTTAATTCTTCTTAGAATCTAATAGAATCAAATGGATCATTATTAAATTCTCCTTTACCTAGAAATAATAAAATACAACGTACAGGATCTCGATTAACTTCCGAAGAAATACCTTTACCACTTCCACCAAAACAATTTATTCTATCTTCACCTTCAATGTCAATTAAACAAAGTGGATCAACATGTAGTGATATAACATTCTTAAACGGAAATGGGGTAATACAGCATATTCATTGAATTTATTGGAAAACTAACTATTTCATGTTTTTTTAGCCACTTGATTCTTCTCCATCATCAACTTCAAGTTCTGGACAAAATGCTGAAAGTAAACGTCGTCGAAATATAAAAGTAATTTTACATATATATATATATAAAATTATTCTTTTATTGATATATGTTTAGAATGGTTTCGAAAATCTTCGTTTTCTTATTCCTGAATTAAGTGATCCATCGAATGCAAAAATAAGTAAAGCTCAAATGCTTGAATGTAGTAAGTATTTTTGTTTTCTTGATATTTTTTCTTCTTATTAATTCTTTTAGCTGCATTACATATTCAACAAACTAGTGAAATACGTGATAAAATGAAAGAAGAAGTTGATTTATTACAACAAGAAAAAGAACAATTACAACAAAAAGTTTCACAATATCAAGCAAGTTTACCTGTTGATGGTATGCCATTTGTACCAGCAAGACGTTCACGTGAAGCTTCATATGCATTATTTCATTCATATGTTGCTGATCGAACAAGAAAAAATTGGCGTTTTTATCCTTATTCACTTGTATTAAAACGTATATTTGATTCATTTCAAAATACAGTTACATGTGATTCAACCGATGAATTTATACGTTCATTAAATGATTGGAAAACTAGTTCACTTAGTCTTGTACAATTACGACAAGCTGCTTCACAAGCTGTTATGGATATGGGACGAGAAACATCATTAATTACATGTAAATTATATTTAACATTTTTTTTCAATATTATTTTTTCTTTTTTATTTTAGCACCTGAACGGCTACCTGACGAATGTATTCAATTAGCTTCAAAAGAACTTCAGTAATAAGTTTATTTTTTTTTCTTTTCTTATATGTAGTCTTTCTTTTGTTTATTATTTACGATTGCCTTAGTTGTTTTTTTTTGTCCGGTTCTATTTTCTGTTCTGTATATGTGTAAGATAATTTTTTGGTTTCCTTGATTTATCTTGCAGTTGATTGTTCATGCGCGATGTTTTTTTCTAGATATATATATAATTATGTGTGGTCGCTGTGATTCGTTTTTTTTTTTGTAAATTGATAAGTGAAATATGAAAAAAAAGAAAGAATAACAAGTAAAAAAACACACAGTGAGAAGTGTGAAAAAAATAAAGTGAATTTATAATAATGATACATTTTTCTCGTGATTTTCGTCAACATTTATATTTCGTTTGAACTACTAATTGTAAATGTTAGATGATTCACTTTAGTTGCAGAATCCTGCTCATCGATTAACTTCATTTATTTAGAATGATTTTATAAAAAAAAAATGGAATTAGACCTACTTGTTGCTTTTCACGTATTTTTTTATTAATAATAAAACGATACTTGAAATTCAAAAAGAAAACTTGACTTTTACAATCAAGTAACATCAGTAATAATACATTATATCGAAATAAGATATACAACAATATGAGTCAAAAGTTTCTAGACTTAAATTTGCAATCAGCTATAATATATCTGTATTTGATAGAATGTTTATAATAAACATTGATATTGTGATTCATGCGCAACATATCGTCGGCTTATGAAAAATATTTATATATTAATAAATGCATGATTGAGTATGAAGGAATGTGAAACAACAATATGATAAATGATGAAATCAATATTTTGCTTTAAGTACTGAATTATTTATAATCATAGATAATGCTAACTAAACAGTATTTATACAATTGTATTAAAAAATAACAATCATATCGTTAACGGAATACTAATTTTATTATTTATAGTTGTATGTTCAAATAGACTGATACATCAATAAAAGTTAAATCAATGCTCAACATAATCATTTTGAATTATATTTGTTGTCAGATAGACAGGCAATAAATACAGTTTAATTTTTATTTCTACAATTAAGCTTTACATTCGAAAGCACAATATTTTGTGCTATATTACTGATAGATAACCAGTCAAGCAGATATATGAATTTCCGTTTTCAGGTCATATTCTAACAATGTAGAGAATAACCTTCACCTACTTATGAATCGAGCCATATATATATGAGCAATACTATTTGAACCGACGTATGATTCACTCATCGGTTAAAAGATGCAATAAAATATTTTGTACTTTTTTTTTTTTCTTTCGATCATATCCAAAAAATATATATACACACACACGCGCACACACACACACATACAAATGATGTTCAATGAGAAGAAAGAGAGATTACTCATATTTTTGTAGCAAAGAAAAAACAACAAACAAGCAAACAAACAAAAAAGAAGAAAGTTGATATGTATACAAAGTTTGAGATTTTTTGTTTTTGTTCATTCTCTGTGTTTAACGAACTCAAAAGAAAAACGAAGAAAAATGAAAATGATTTACATATTTTTCATACTGTTGAGTTCGTTTATTAATTCAAGTACTTGTGGTGAACGTGTTGATGAATGTACATTATCACGAAGTAAACAATCAATAAATGATAATGTCATTTCAAGTTTACCATAAGTTATTTCAAAAACTGTATATGTTGCAAATAATGTACATATTGCTGTTAAAAAATCATTTAATGGTCGATGAAATAATTGTACATAATCTAATTCAATATTATATGCAACTGATGATGATTTACCATCATAAAATATTGTTGCTGGATGTTCACCTCGAATAATAGGCCATGGAGATTGTGTATCCTTAA